CCAAAGAAATATGCGTCATTCCGAAGCTTGATACAATCTCCTAAGGTCGATATTTTTTGTAAAGTTTTATGTCATCGGCGTACTGCAGGAACGAAGAATTTGATATAACCTGGGCAACATCATTTACAAATTTAAAAAAAAAAATATATATATTGAAAAAGAGAGGGCCAAAGACAGATCCCTGAGGCACTCCAGAGCTTCGCTTGTACAAAGACGAGGTAGTATTGTTGACACGGGCGTACGCTTGCCTATTGGACAAATAGATCTTTAACAAATTATATGCCGAACAACGAACTTCTTAAGAAAAAAGCTTGCATAAGAGGACGTTGTGGTGGACTACGTCAACGGCCTTACTCGGGTCAAAAAGAAAAAAAAAACAAAAAACGTCAAGCTGATCTCTATTACAAAATATTTCAGATGATGCAGACATAAAATATACGACATTGGTAGATGTCGATCATCCGGACATGAAACCATGCTGATTAGGAAGGACTATAGCACGAAACTTGGAAGAATAAAATGAATGAATGACTATTTCAAAGAATTTCGAAAAAGGAGATAGAAAATAAATTGGTCTGTAATTAAGAACGTCCCCACTATTTCCAAATTTCAGGACGCAAACACCACTGCCACTTTCTAATCGTCCGGAAATATTCCTGGCGTCAAGTAGTTATCGAAAAGTGTGCACAGTATTGGCGTATATAATTCATGATAAACCTTAACAATTGCAACGGGTATCCCGTCATGACCTGCCGACAATGTGGGTCTCATTTTCCTAATACAGAGCTTAATACATTCCTCATTGACAACTACAGAACGAAATGGGTCACCAAACCCTTCCCAGTGAGGAAATGCAGTTGAGGATCAGTTATTATTTTTGTAGACTGGCGCAACGTGATTCGCCAACAACTTAGACATGCCATTCGCACGGTCGCTATGCTGATTCAAGACGATTTCGGATTCAATAGTCTTCCCCAAGCGCTATTTAGCGTGCTTTCAGAATTTCTTGGGATTTTTAACGAGATCTGATTCTACCAAGGCACAGAACGCTTGGCTATCACGGTTCTCTTCCTTATTCTCTAAGATCACGGTTCTGTTCCTAAAGTCTCTTACATTGTTTTCTGCAAAATTTAAGTTCAACTTTCCACTTTGAACTACCACTTTTCTTAAACATCCTGCGCAAAAATTCTTTCCGCTTTTAAAGCTTTTTTAGTTCCCGAGAGAATCGGTTAGGAAAGCGAGATTTATTATATGTTTTTACAACCATATAAATGTCCATGACTTTCTGAAGAACTCTTCTGAGTTGATATACTTAGTCGTTGACATCAGACGACAACGAGATAAAAGCCCAGTTAACACCCGACAGGTTGTGATACATTTCAGGATAGTCCCCCGGTGAATACTTATCCGATGTGTGTGGGGAAAGACCGCTAGAGGGACTGAGGAACGGCGAATCAGAAACAGAAAGAATTACATCAAGAGCTGGAAGATATCTATCCTGAGAAACCATAAAATATTCACTTCGAGCCACCCGTAAACCGTCCATGTTTAAAAAGGATAAATTTAAAGCACTACCTTGATCATTTAGAATGTTATTGTGCTCTCTGAGATCTAAAAAAAGTGAAGTTAAGAAAATTAATAATATTAATAACATAGTATTATTAATACTCAAAACAACAACAATAATAATAATAATAATAAAATAACAAGTCAGCTGCAAGAGATACATTTGCAAGGTCTCACAGACAGACAAACATACTTTCTCGACGACTGACATTCCAGTACAGGAGTTTCCGGTTTATGAGCGAGCACTCGGTCCGTACATTCCCTGTATTCTTAGAGGGTATTATCAAATGTTGTTCACGTGACAAGTCGCATATGTGCGGGCCTGACATCTGCCGCAAACAAATGATATATTTATTTATTTATTTATTTATTTATTTACCCTCAAGGCCCCGAAGGGCATTACAGAGGGGAGTGGGGGGGGGGGGATTAGGTGACAGGGTACAGTTGTTGATACATGAAATATGATACAGTAATTAATGCACGCTTGCTTAGACACTTCAAAAATATTTACACAATGTTATAACAGTAATAACAACTAGAAAATGGTTAATGAAAACTAACAAACAAGGCATTTTTAAAATCAATAATATTGGTTATGGAGGCTATGTCAGCGGAAAGGCGATTCCAATCGGAGCTAGTACGAGGAACGAAGGAGTTATAATAAGTGTTAGTTTTGTAATTGGGGATACCGACTTTGTACTGGTGATCTACGCGGGATGAAACATAAGTAGGTGGCGTTAGAAGTTCATGGCGCATGAAAGGGTTATTATGGTAAATCTTGTGAAATAAAGTGAGGCGAAAAATGCGTCTACGGTTCATTAGTGTGGGTAAACCAAGGGTATTTTTCATTGAAGTAACACTGGATGTACGATGGTAATTACAGAGTATGAAACGTGCTGCACGATTTTGAACCGATTCCAATGTTTCAATGATAGTATTATGACCGGGGTCCCAGATAGAACATGCATATTCAAGTTTAGTACGTACTAAAGTAGTATATAAAAGGAGTTTTAGTGACACTGGTGACTGTGAAAAATTTCGTTTGAGATATCCAAGCATGCGATTGGCGTTGTTAGTTACGTAGTTAGTGTGAGTTACCCAGGAAAGATCAGAAGTTATGTAAACACCTAAGTATTTGTAAGAGGACACAGACTGTAGCGGAGTGTCGTCAATGTAGTAATTCGAGCATATGTTAGTATGACGGGAAACTCTCATGGATTTACATTTATTAAGATTGAGTTGCATCAACCACTTGTCGCACCAGTCAGATACAGAGTTAAGATCAGATTGGAGAACAGAGGTGTCAGAGTTATTTGTTATTTCTCTATATAGTACACAATCGTCAGCAAATAAACTAATATTAGAGGAGACACATTCAGAGAGATCATTAATGTAGATGAGGAAAAGTAGCGGTCCTAAAACAGAACCCTGGGGAACTCCAGATCCTACGGGAGTCAGTGAAGAGTTAGTACCATTGGCATGCACAAATTGAGAACGGTTGGTTAAAAACGATTCTATCCAGCGTAGCACGTTCGGATCAATATTGAGGTTGCTAAGTTTTAATAGGAGTAGCCGGTGAGAAACTTTATCGAAGGCCTTAGAGAAATCAAGGAAAACGCAGTCTATCTGGGAGCCACGGTCAAGGACAGAATGAAGCTTATTAGTGAAAAGTAGAAGCTGTGTTTCGCAGGAAAATGATTTGCGGAAGCCGTGTTGAGTAGGGTGAAAAAAAGAATTCGATTCTAGGAAACATGCGAGGTTAGAATATATGATATGTTCGAGTATCTTACAAGGAATGGATGTTAGAGAAATTGGCCGGAAGTTATTCGGTGAGGAGTGGTTGCCACTTTTATGAATTGGAGTCACCTTTCCAACTTTCCAGTCTTCGGGAAGGCAGCCTTCCTCCAATGATTGCTTAAAGATCATTGATAGTATAGCTGATGAATACGATTTCGTGTTCTTTAAGAATTTAGAGTTAATATTGTCAATACCGGATGAAGAGGAGAGCTTCAGGTTATTAATTATTGCAGCTATACCGTCGTATGATATTAATATTGGATTCATTGGAAAAAAGTCAGGGCAATTAAAGTTGGGGTACACAGAAACATCGGTGCAAGAAAAAGATTGAATAAATATATCGTTTAGCAATGATGCACACTCATCATGGCCTACTGGTTCCCCATCTGTGTTTGTAAGCTTCAGGTCACCGTGGTTATCATTAGGTTTGATTAAGTTCCAAAAGTGGCGAACATTTGTAGATAAAATTGTGGGCAACGTGTTAGTAAAAAAATTGCGTTTTACTTCTAATACTGCACGTTTATATTCCTGCTCGGCGTAATGATAGGCGTTAAAATGACTCTCTTGTTTTGAAAGTTTGGCTACACGAAAGAGGCGTTTCTTTTTATTTGAAAGTCGTTTAAGTCTGGTGTTGTACCAAGGGGAATTACTTTTGGATGATAATGTGCGAACAGGAATATATGTGCTTATTAGATAGTTCACTTTGTTTCGGAACAGACACCAATTTTCATCTACAGACCGTTCAAAAAAATTTTCCACAAAATAACTCAGAAATTCACACAATTCAATATTTATAGCCGTAAAATTGGCTTTTCCGTAATCACGAATCGTTTTAACTATTTTCGGGGAATGACTTGTGGTTATATTTAAGGTGAAATGCAGCAATAAATGATCACTAAAACCAGGCAGATAGGTAATAGGAGAAACAAGGTCGGCGAAGGTTGACAATACAAGATCTAGCACTGAGGCACAGGAGGGCGTAATTCTGGTGGGGCGAGACACTAGCTGAGAGAAATTGTAGTCCGAACATAAATTGAGGAATTTGTCACTGTCAGACGAAAAAGGACTTGAGTAAGCTGTTTCCGCCGACCACACAATATTTGGATAGTTAAAATCACCCAGAAGGGTGACGTTTGGTGTGGGACACAAAACTACCGATAATTATGACTTAATATTCTTTATAAAAACAGAAAATTGAAAAAGCAAGCCTCCTTTCTAACGAAAAAGAAAGCCGGCTTAACCATGGGTGGGTTCAAGGAGAATTAGGGGTACTTAAAATCACGCGTACGAAGTGCGTTCGTGCCTCAGCGTGCATTAAATGCTCTCTATTTAATCCATTTTTTTACTGTACTCAACATTTGGGTAATGCATTCTAAAAATAAAAATTATACTTGCACCTTCACCTAAAGTTCCTCGATGCGTTCCCCAACAGCTCAAAAAACGAGGCATGTGACCTTGCTAGATCATAGAAAAAATTGTCCGGCTCAGCACCAAACTGACTCCCTTGGATATAAAACGTTTAATGTTGTTGCTCCAGAGCTCCCTATAAAAGAGCCTTAAGTCTTCACAGACAATGAACGCCAATAGTTGCAAAGAAAACAAAAAACTGAAGCACGAGTTTTACCAAGACACTTTACCTTGACCAGGTCCACATAGACAGACTTGAGTTCCTCTGGCAGCCTGTCCCAGTCGACTTCGACTCCGTCAAAGTTGTGCTCCGGCAGCCAGCGAGCTACGTTCTTGGCGAGTGCAGCTCTCGCAAGGACTGCTTCGGCTCCGTCAACCATCTTGCTCAGCTCGGCAGGAGACCCACTCAGCCGCAGCGACAAAACCAGTTTCAGCAGCGGGTGGCTCGTCTTCAGCGCGTCCATGTCTCGCACAGACTTGAGACCTGTGGCGACACATGGCAATTATCTCTGCGTTCCGTAAGGTGTTGGGCGTAAGCGCGGAGAAGTTGGGAACACCGGTCTCCAATGCCGTCTCGCATAGCACCAGACTTATCCTGCCTATGCGGAGTGCAAGTTTGTCTGCTCTTTGCGCACCTCGTGTGTTTGTTTACCAACCAAATGATCCCATGTGGTTTTGTTTCCGACGAAATTGACCATTGACGGCATTTCCCTTGGCTGCCTCAATTTTCAAAGGGCGTGCCCCTCCTCGTGTTCCGATGCGCCGAATACTTGTTTTGGTACACATACTGGCCGGATGTAGTCACTGCCAGCTTAAGGAACTCAAGGCGTGGCCATTCCAGTGCACATTTATATTACGTCACAGCCAATGGGATTGAGAAATTGGCTGGTGAGGACCCCTTTGAACAAATTCCTAAGCGGTGACATATTAAGCTCATTACCCTGCTTTTGTTAAAAAGATAGTGCAACGATGGTCTATGTTAAAATTACCTGCAGCATGAAACTTTTATTTTGATCATCTCAAAAAGAAAAACCGCTCTACCACGGAATATTGCGATTCCACCGCGTCATCGCGAAACAGAGAAAGGGCGATTTCCTGTCCGGCAGCCGGTATTTTAATCCGGTTGATGGAATTCTTTGACTAAATTGTTTGATTCAATATTCATGATGCATAATACTGTGTTATTTCTTCTATGCCTGCGTAAGTTATGAATTCTTGTGTTCCTCAATTATTTATTATCAACTTGAAATGTTGTTTCTTTAAGCGGTTGGACAGCATTTCTGAATATTATTAATGCAGATTTTCGTTCAGTTAAATTATGAGTGCATAACAAAATGTTAGTGATGCATTCACATTTTTTCACAGTCCAATCTATTTTTTTTCTTCTTCACCAGCACACGAAAGACATTTTTTTCTTCACTCTAGAAATGACAAAATCTCACCACCACATGTGTTGGGCTGAAATCCGAAAATCGTTGCGCATCCGTTTAAGCTGCCATTGAGTATAATGTCGGAAGGCCATCCGGAGGGGTTCGAAGTCTGCATTAACTACGCTACTATTAACCGATTCTCTTCCAACTAATTGTTCTTCAGATTTCATCACAATCCGACGAGATGGATTCAGCGATTTGGTGCGATTACACCCAGCACCGCCTAAATACTGACATCTAAGTGGTGTTTGTCAGACGTCAAGTGTTGACTGAAGCTCTGATTTTACGTGAGCTCTACCCAAACGCTGTGGCAGCACTTGTGTTATATTTGCTAATGTATGGTCGTACTGTGAAGACGTCAGAATTTTAGTGCATGGGCGTTCTTGGTTTATTTGGTGCTGTTCAAACTAACACCAACTAGATACTGAAAAAACCCATTATGACAAACTACGCAAATACTTTACCCGGCGAATACATCTCACCTTCAGAAAATCCAATAGTCTTGGAGCTAATTAACACGCCGCACTAGTACCCCGAACGAATCACGTTTTCACTTCAAGTGCCTTTTTTGTATTATTATTGCTAGCTTTAGAAGTCGTGCTACATGCATTATGAGATGAGATTAGATGTTTTTTGATTCTATAAAAATATTGTGTATTTTCTGCCTTAACGTTTGGGGTCTTCATGAGAAGCATCATTGTGTGTTTGTTGGGTTTCTTGAAGAATAATTGGCAACAATGACCAAACAGAAAATGCGTTAGACTGTTGCTGTCCCTTTGTGTTCAAAAAACCTAGAAAACTAAATAAACTACTCTTCACAGAAAATTGCAACTCAGTAAAAATATGGCGCCCGAGGTGGCGATCAAATGCGAAAGTTTGAGAACGTGATCATAGCTGAATTAGAAGGTAAAGGGCAAAACCAAACTATCTATGATCAACGTCTACCTCAGCCTGATAAGTCAGTAGAATAAAATGACGTCGTGGAAACATGTACATTTATACAAGTAAAAAAACCTTCACAGCAAAATATTTGCATTTTTTCATTGAAATAAAAGCTACTGGTTCCTGCAGTGTCATTTATCGCTTTGGAAAAAGTAGGCACATGTGGATGTTGACTCATTGAGAAATTCCGTTTTTTTCTATCATCTTATGATTCAGGAAACATCGCGTCCTTACAAGTTCGCGTTCTATCACCCCAGCAAGCGTCGCATTATCACAGAGTTTCCGTATTTTTTGTGGTGCGTAGTTTATTTACGCGGACCTGAGAAAACGGCTCTCTTTTCTTTTGAACACTTTGCGTTCTTCTGTTCTCTAACTATAGAAGAGATACATACAGACGGTAGCCTATTGTTCTCGCTGACATGAAAAGAATGGATTCCTCCAGCGTCTTCAGTAAAGCTCAGATTTCTTTGCTCTTCGACGATCAGAACGGCCGACGCACCGCTGTCGTCCTCCTGGAAGACGGGTGCCAGAGTGCGAGGGTCAATGGACGCTCCGAGGTAGACGAGATGCGTGCAACAGTGCACGCACAATTTGTTCAGGTCGTAGTCCCTCGGTGGACGGCGCAGCACGCTCGACGCGTTCCAGTAGCATACCACCACGGACTTGATATTGGTTATCTCTGACTCCTGACTCCCGCCTGAGTCTGCAGGAGAAAAACAACCAGTCAGAGGAAGGGTTGTCAGAAATAATTCCTCGCAGGCTGTCTAATAGCGATACCGGTCGTCGAAAATACTTAGAAAGTCTACTTGCGGCTGTAGAAGTTGTTGTCTGAAAGAGAAACATATTATAGTAATGTTATATTTTAAACTAAACAACGAAAAATAATTAAACCATCAAATATTACCAATGGACTCAGTTGCATATAACGTTTTTTCTGTTTTTTTTTACAAAGGCAATTCATTGAACATAAGAATGAGATTCCAGATTAATTGGAGTCTATCAAGATGATTCAAGGTTATTTTCTTCAAATTGATATCTTTACCAAACTAAAGCAAGCGTGTGAGTTTAAAATTGAGTACATTAGTGTTGAAGAGAAAGCGTGGAAAGGAGTTTTAGTAATATCATAAATAAATACTTTTAGAACGTTTCTGGTTTTGTAAATTTTATATACTGTATACCGACTTCATAACCTCCGGTACTTTTGCGTCATTTCAAATAAAAATCTTGAAACAACTATATTTATATGTAAATTTGTTTTATGCACGTGGGAGTATATAAACTCTAAAAAAATCCCGTGCGTCTACTTTCCCGCACAATACTCGGAGAGCCAGTAACCGAATCTTATGGAGGCAGCTCAGCGAATAACAATGCCGAAACATATGTTTAGACCAAAAAACGCAGCCTGAGTTGTGATATTAAGCAATGCAAAAAGTGACGCTTGCAGTGCTTAATGCCATAACTCAGACTACGTTCTTTGGTCTAAATGTATCTTTTTGCATCGTCATTCGCTGAGCTGCCTTCGTAAGATTTGGTGATTGGCTGTCCGAGTGTTTGACGAAGCTAAGAAAGTGTTTATTAATCAATGAATATATATGTTCAACACAAATAATGGTCCTTGGGGAGCATGCGAAGCTCAATAACATAACAGCCATACTGGCGCTGCAGCTTCTTGTGTTATCGCACACTTTCTACGAGTGTTCTATGCTGATTAAAATTATTTGTGCAGCCGACAACGACGCAGTGATAGCCTAACAACCGAAGATTTTCGAAAATTGTAACACGGTAAAACGAAGCGCTCGGATCAAACTCACGCACGACGTCCGTTTAAACCTTATCGCCATTACCCTTGGCTGTTGCATACACTGTGTCATGCGGCTTTCCGAAAACCGAATGGTCGGGCGTACGTCCGCTGTGCGCTGGTATGAGGCTATGCGAAAATGGTCCGTACAACGCAACCCTGCTATGAAAAAACTTCGCCTCAGTTTGGCACGGAGTAACTGCGAAATCTCACCAAGCGCGAGCGGCTAGCCTTGAATGCCTTGACTGGAGCCATAGCCTCCTCTATACTTTCTGCAGCACACCAAAAAAGGTTCTGAGCGTTACCTAGAACATTTATCTTAAAATATAATAAGAAAATTTCGGGAACCGGCAAGTTTAACTGACGTGAGAAGTTACATTCAGGTGAAAAGCTATTATTTTGTTTAAGGTTCACTAGACCAAAACCGTTCCATACTAAGAATGCTCTAGGCATAAGCTATCTTCAATGTTTGTATCCTGCAAGTTGCCATATACAATTGCGGCCTCTTAGCACATGACGAATTCCATAAATGAAACTCCTGGATGCCTTTCACAGGATGCACCGTCGTCCATTCTGCTTGCTTTGCTGCACACAACTCCCTAACCTAATTCCCACACATGTGGATCATGCAGACATTTGCGCATTTTTCACGGAGCACTTCCGCGAAATCTTTATCAGTGACAATTAATCTCTGTTCCGGGCGAAGATCTTAGGTTAGTCAGCGTTGCATGATGTTTAGTTACCTCACCTACTTCATAACAGTCGCTTTTTTTACGTCCAGTGGCCGAAAAGATTCATCTTGCCGAAGAGTGTGGCTTCCGAGACAACTCATGCAATTGGAAGCGATTCTTAAAATATGCCGAAGCTTAGTCTGAGACCAAAAGTATATCAAGAAACAATGGGCTAGTGATCGTCAACATAATGCTGTCTTGCCTCTGTGGCCAAAATTGCATGTGCTATGTCATACGTTCTGTCATCGCTGATAACGGCAAAGCTATGCGTGTCTTGCATGTGAAGATAGACACAAGTGTTTTTTTTTTTCCAATAAAAACTTTGCACTTCGGCTGGAGAAATGACAGTCCTAATTTCGGCGAAATAAAAGTGGAACTTCACTGCCTTTGGTGGTAGAGAGGCTCTTAAGTCAAGAATCAGTCCTTGTTGAACGTCACCAATGTAAAAACGCGTGAAAGACTTCTCGCCCTATAATTTAAATTCCCGCAAAAAGGCGGGAGCGTTCATCACTTCTTAATGCACTGCCCGGTTTTCCCCAATGCGAAAGAAACCTTATCGTTTCCGTCAGGATGAAGCGACTCCAAAAAGGTGGTCTGCATCTTGTGTGCGTTTCGCAATCGCGTAGTAAGCAGTCGGCTTGAGGACACTTGAGAGGCAGAGGCGGTTGAGGTCGTCTTCAATAAATGCCTTCCTTGAGGCATTTGAGATTGCCGTTGGAAGCAACTGAAAATTCACGTAATAAATGCATGCACACTCCTTGTGCTCAGGACTCTTTTTGGGCCATTTCGGTTGTCAGGGATAACATTTTGAGATGCTAAGTTCCCAGTGAGTATTGTCCTTCCTGATAAGCGGGAATGCTTCTTTTATTGAGCGGGTCACAAACCTTTTCGTGACTTTGGTCTTCTCATTGATGACGGCTATAACATTATTTTTTTATTGGGCTCCGGACAGATCATGCGAGGTCGTCAAGGCGTGTAGTACTCAAGTACAAAACTCACGTCTTTGACATTTGCCTTTTTCCCTATGTAGAGATCGGTGGTGGCCCATATTTCTCCTTTCCGCTTCAGTTTCCTTGTTAAGCTATCACGTAGAAAGTCGCTTCCGGCACCAGACGCAGTATTTCTTTCTTGGAGATACTTTGTGGCACAAGTGTGCACAATCGCTTACGCTCCTGATGGGAAGTGGATACCTTGAGTTCTTCGCAGAACGCGTTGAACCACCCTGCACAGTGCTGACAACAATCGCCGGGGGTTTTCTCACTGTAAACGCTAGACAGCTATTGTTTAGCAGAAGAAACTGCTTGAACTTCTTTCTTCTTCAAGCACGCTACACGCACTTTTTTAATGGTTTTACGTTGTTTTAGTGCCTCGTTGGAACCAGAAGACCAGACGTTATTCCATACATCCACAAGGTTGCCCACAATCTGAAGAAAGTGGCAAGCAAGTACGATGTTCCCGCTGTGTTCTCTACCCCCAAGAGGTTGGCAGGGTTGCGCTCCCATATTTTTGATTAGAAGGCAAAAATGGCATGTGATGAGAACCACGTCACCCTTTACGTGGTCTGCACAGTGGGTGTTGTCTACGAGATCCCACTGAGTTGGGGTAATGTATACATCGGCCAGACGGGGCGGTGCATCAATGGCCGAGCACGAGAGCACGCATTATCAGTAAAAAGTATATATGGCTCTCATTTGCCTATACATTGCAAGACGTGTGGCTGTGTTCCGCGATTTCAGCAGATAAGGATTACTGGGAGAAGCCGTGAGACGGTCGCTCGTGAGCTATTTGAGGCATTCTTTATAAAAACAATGTGGGACGACATGTGTCAGCGACATTTCTATTGTCCTTCACGGTAATAAATTTCAGTTTTTGAAGGATCGGGTACTAAATTAATCTTTTTTCGTAACTGATAAAATATATAAAAATAAATTATCAACTTTTATGTGGTGCTGCTTTGCCTGTCGTGTCTATATATGCCTGCTCTTTCTGAGTAAAACTAGTTGAAAGTTAGCGCTTGTCATGTATACTCCTTGTCGTTATTCCTTTTTGCGCTATTTTATGTTTAACTCATAGATCTAGGAACGTTGCTCGGATCTTCCTCAAACTGTTGGGGCAAAGCGGTTTATTTTTTATTTTTCCTTTTCTCAGCTTTTCTGTCACACTTCTTTGCGCTCTTTCTTTACGGAAGCCCGGAGCAAACTTGTTTCATGGAGCAAAGCGGGGCTATATGTCTGAACGCATGATGTTTTGCCGCCGCCGGGAGTAACATGGAGGTACTCGAGGGAGTGTTTTTGTGGCACCGGTGTCCTACCAGTGGGGAAACGAGCGCTGCGTCGGGCGTTCGGGACGTCACCGGCCTGCCAACTTACGTTGCTGGCAGCAAGTCGAATAAGGTTAGGGGCCAGCTACATAACACATACTTTGTTCAAAAGTTTCCACAATGTCGAAATTTCAGCAGCTCACCTCCAGTTTCGTTTTTTCTTTTCTTTTTTTTTTTCCTAAAGTGAGTAGTATATGATTGCACCCAGACCGAACGTCACAGGACAAAACAGCAAGGCCAGACACTCTGCCCTGTGGTCGTCGGCCGCCTTGTTGCAATATACCGATGTCACCAGCCAGTTTCACTACGCCACCGCTGCCGAAATGCATCGAGGGAGCCTTAAGCCTGGTTCAGACAGTTGCGTTTGACTGCGTTTGACTGCGTTGCGGCAGCGAGAAACCAGGACATCCTTGCTGCTTATATCGCATGCCAAGATGATTCCTTGGATTGGATCCACGCTTCATACGAAGCACAGATGTGCCGGTGACTAGCTTTCCGCACTCGACGCAACGCACTCAAACGCAAGTGTCTGAACCGGCCTTTAGTCTTTCTGCACGTGCAACAACCTCGCTGGAGCTCTGCGCGTGTAGAGCATGAGGCTGCACGAGCCGTCTTCTGCACTGCTGTGTGCCTCCTGCGAACTAAAGTTATGGCGGCGTCACGGATGCGCTAAACGCTTGGTGAGATCGGTCTAGTTCTTGTTTCAACTTAAGTTCATATGCAGCCGATCCTACAAGCGCGAGCATGTGGCCCTGAGCAGTGCGTGCTCTGCACGAGCGCGCGTGCTTGGCAGCAATAGGGTGCCTCAATGGCCTTCTGTTTAGGGTCGTGCCAACCATTGTACTACCCGATGGTGACAGTACGGGCTCACAAAAAAAGTACAAAGAAATCATCAAAAGGAAAATGTCGCCGTAGCAGAGTCGGCACCAAGAGCGCGTGCAAAAACAGCCTTTTTCACGCACTTGAGAAAAAAAAAAAA